GAGTATACTCTTTACCTCTCCCGGCATATTTTTTGTCTTTTCTTCGCCAAGAACAGAATTATATATTATAATATCTGATTTTATTTTTTTTCATTTTCGCTCCTATTTGAAACTTCTTCCGAAGAGTGTCTTTTTTTTGTTTCAAAAAGAATGTTGTTTTAGAATTTCAATGTAATTTTTAACATAAAATACCATTTTTAACCTCAATAAATTCAGAAAATTAATTATAAATATAATTCTAAGAGTCATTTTCTGCAAATTAATAAGGATACAAAATATTTTTCATCTTATTTCTTAATTTGTGTGAAGAATGTCAGAACAACATTCTTTGTGAAACGGATGGAGTACTTTTTTATAGGCAAAGCATTAAGGTGATTCATCTTTTGTCATAAAATATTTTCCTGTAAAGAGGGCAAATGTTCTTACCTAATTGGCAAATTGGTTTGAAAATTGAAAAGTTTGAATTTGCATATAGTGTGGGTCAGTACGTTCTAACGATCTAAATGCATTTGCTACCTTCACACAATACAATGCGCTTATTGCATATTGAACGCATTAAAAGAGTTTCAACATTTTTTTTGTCTAGTTAATGCTAACGCCTACGTCTTAAATAAATATTTTTGAACAAAATTATTTCTGAGCTAGTAAAGAAGATTATTTGAAGTTAGTTAACTTAGACTCCAATTGTTTCAGACGTAGAGAAATATATTTGTTTTTAAAGTAAAATGTCAAATGATTAAATTAAAACATTGTATTTGGGATTTCATTTTTCAATTTAGGATTTAACTTTCCTTCATTAGGAAGGGGTTTTGAGTAACTTTAATGAATGTGCTAGAAATTGGACAAATAAACATCTATGCAAAATCTTCAATAGATAGCCCGTTTTGAGAAATTCAACACACTTTTAAATAAAAAATGGAGTCACAACTCAGAGTTTTGTTCTCTTTTTTGAAAAAAAAATATATAATAATACAATGATTTAACAAATAAACATATATGCAAATGCAGATAAAATTGATCAAACCATTATTCTCTGTTTTAATTTTGTCATTCGATATTATAACATGTCTTTTGTATGCACTGGCACAGAGCTTGTTTGCTTCAACTGGATCACAAAAGAAAGAAAAAAAAAGGTCAGCAACTGTAATGAGATCCGATTTGATCGTTGAATGACACTTTTTTTGTTTGATACTGCAAAAGCAGTGTAATGGTTTTTGTTGTTATCATTTGATGTCTTGGCCTAGTCCTACCTGAACAGTTCGATTTCCTTATATTTTAACAATATTTTCGAGAGGTTCAAATTCGAATTACGTGGTAACTAAAAAAATATGAATGCACATTACAATTTCAAGTCCACTTATTATAAGGAGAAGTAAATATACAATAACAGAATAAAGGAAAAAGGTAGGCCCACATTCATATGAAATGTGGTGGTTTTATGGTGTGCATATGTTTTGACTGAGAGGCTTCCCACTACTCACTCCATTAACTCATTAGTGGGATCTAAATTATTTAAGGATTTGTTTACAACTTACTCTGAATCTTATTCCAACTTTATGGTTCTTTGTTAATTTTACTTTTGCAATCATATTTCATTTCTTACTTTCTTTATCACCTTATTTAAACCATGTATAAGTGAGAGATATTTTAAGATTTTGGATTGGGTGTGGCTCGAATTAATATGCGTGTCATTGGCATTGTCATCTGTTAGTTTATTTTTACAGTTTGGGATATTTTGAAATTTTGAAAATGTAGTTGCTCTCACCATTCTTACTCCATTTATAATCTCAGAATGCTAACATTAAATCCTTCCGGGAAAAATATGTTAGAAAGTAGTATTTAACAAACAATTTGCGAAAAGGGAAATTAAAAGTGGTAGGCATTTACTTTATGAGGTGTTTCAATGATTGAAACAGAGAAGAAGTCACTCTGCTTTTTTAGGTACTTCGCTGTGTACGACAGAGTTCCCACTCCAATTCTCTCCAACACCAACTTAGACATCATTTGTACGGAATTACCAACTAATTAACTAAACCTCTGCTTCTGTTACGATGAATTATATATAATATGGCTCCCAATATGGTTACTTCGTATGCAGCATAGCATACAGAAAATACCGAACACACAGTCTATCTTTGTAATATATTTGCCTACACGCTAATTTGTGTGTTCCACTGCGTTTTGAATAAACCATTTATTTGTTGTTTTAAGGTATTTAAGATTATGGTTCTGTATTCCAAAAAGTATCCAAGATTTAACTACTGATTTTGCAAATTTCATTGAATTTTTTCGTGTTTTGTAGTCATATTAATATTAGGTGCCTAATGTATCAGTATTTTTTATAAAGATTATTTAGTTAATCAGGCGTAATCTACTATAAAGTTGTAACAGATTTTTGACTAAAATTCCAACCTCTAATGATTTCTTTTTTTTTTCGTAACAGAATCCAACCTCTAATGATCTCAAGTGTAAATAAAAAGTACAAAGTGCTAAAATCAGTTTTTCTAAGTCCACTGGCATGATCTCATTTCTAACTTCATTACTCAGGTAAAAAAAGGAAGGTATATAATCTTACATGCGGTTATTTAATGATTAAAGAAAGTAGAAAGCGAAAGGACTTGAGAAAATAGTATAGGAGTGTGGGGATGAAAGGAGCTATCCACTTACCCACAACCTGCAACAATTATTACCCTTTTCAGATTTAAAAGATAACTTTGTGATTGTATGTAGAAAGTAGAAACAAAGAGTTGTGCATTTTATTTAGTCAAAAGAAAAAAGAAACAGTATTATGCATTTTAATTGTAAATTGTAACATAAAAGATTGTGATTTTTTTTGACAAAAAAAAAAGATTGTGATTTTTTTTCTTTTCTATAAGAAAAGATTGCGACTTTTGTCACCTACCGCTTGTGCTCTTTTACCATTCACGTGACCGTTGTTATCGTGGCCAATGAGACACGAGGGAAAGGATTATGCGCGCATAGAAATATCGTAGTATACAAACTTTTTGGCTGAAATTACAAATCTACAAGCATGACAGTTATACTTATAATATATATGTTAAGAAGAAGTTTTTGTTGTTAGAAAAAAAATTGTTTTGTTTGCAAACCAAAATAGTTAACGTATATTCAGTTCATAAATATTTTATGTGTGGAATCAGTTCGTACTAGTAGATTGGCTTAGAGAAACTTTGTATTTACCGGATGATTGTCATTTGTCAATCATGTATTTTAGTTTGTTCCCTGTACAAATTTATAAAGGAAGCTAGTATTCAAACTTGCTGTGGTTTGTGGGATTTAGGTTTATACTGAAATATTAAGTATTTTGTAAAAGACTATTCTTGTGTGTTTACGAATGTACAGTCGTGATTGATTATAGTAATGGTCCGTCAATTCTCATAAAGTTTGTTTAAAGATCATGTAGTAATAAATTTTGATCTACGTCCATGTATCATAGACGTAGTTTGAATATATATTAGGTTTAGTAATATTGGATTACGGTGAACAATTTAGTATATTCAAATTAAAGTCTAGACTTTGGTTTTAGTGAGGTTACTGGCTAAATTAAATGGAGTATTTATCAAGGAAACGAAAATCGAAAAACAGTTTAAGGTTGCGAAGGGGGAGGGGGTAAGTACGAGGAATGGGAACATAATCTATTGAGGACCTCAAAATAGATTCACAAACTCATTAGACGTCGAATTAATATATGTAATATCATTTTATTGCAATATTAAACCCAATCTATATGAACCGGAGCTTAAACAACAGTGATTTGTATTAGTATAGCAGATTCAAATATGATAGTGTGCTGTGTGCGTATGTGAGCTAGACAGTAAAACATAAAGTCAAATTCATCTGGTTCAAAAATAACATTAGTTGTGTGTCTCACCATAGATTATTCAATAATTTAACGTGAGATTATCCACCATTGTAATTCACCAAAGCTAATAAATTAATAATCATCATTTCGACGCTTGTTGAACACTTTTATATACATTACATGCTAGAGCAATTCTACATGCATCATTGCTTGTAACAAATTTTGAACCATTATGATTTATACCATCGAAAAATAAAAAACAGTAAATCATGATATTTTGACAAATAAATATGCAGTATTTTATGTCGAACTGAATATTCAATCTGTTAAGTTATATAGATCTGACCTATTGACTTCAACTCATTAATACTGAATTGAAGTCAGTATTTCGACACTTGTTGAACATTTTTTTGTCTGAGATTATACTTCATCGATCCTCTCCGTTCGTAACTAATTCAAATGCATTTCCAATTTGTTTTTCTTTTTGAAAAACGACTATTTATATACAACAATTGTGCCGTGAAAAAAATTATATACAACAATTGAAAAGACGAACGAATTAAGCAAAATGAAGAAAAAAATAAATGTTGTTGGCTTAACGACGTCCTTGACTCCTTGATGATCTTCCTGTTGAGCTCCACAGTTAATCTTTGAATTTCGGCAAATTGTGAATTCCTTTTTTGAGATGTAGCAGCAACAAGACAGAATGGTGATGCATGAAGCTATGCAAATTCTAGTAGTAAGTAATAGCCAATGCAAATTCATACGCTGCAGAACATAATATATTAAAATGTTGAGTTTTTTTTTTTCATTCACTTAAATATAAAATGTATGCAACGGTAAAGTTTGAGATCGCTATACAAAAATACAATAAGGGAACCACTAAAGAAATTGGTGGTCATAGATAAACCTTTTTGAAAAGATAAAAGAATTTACATAGTTTGGATGTATTGCAAATATATTCTTGTCTACCAATACTATTTATACTAAAAATAAAATTCAAATGTTATAAAATTGGGAGAAACAAAAAAGTAGAAGTAGCCACCTAGGCATTTAATATTTTTTTTATAAATAAAAATAAAAAGGAAAAAAATAACAATAAATAAAAGAATGGTCACTTTAAAAGATGCTCTTTCCCTCCTCCCAACCTCCCATGAGCTCTCTTCTCAGTTCCCAGTCCCCCTTGAAGTAAGTAAACCACACAAAGAAAGAGAGAGAGAGAGAGAGAAAGTAAAGAAAGATTCAGATTTCAGACACATATACACGGATACATACACAGATACATACATAAACTATGGATTTGCATGAACCTGAATCAAGAACACAAGTTGTGTCCAACGATTGCGATGATGGTTACATAGACATGGAGGTCAATCTCTCTTCTTCTTCTACGTCCCCAAGCTTCATCAGCTTCGCCGTCACTTCCTCGCCGCCGCACAGCCGAGAATTCGAGTTTCAAATGTGCTCCTCCACCGTAGCTTCCGGCGAATCCACCACATCTCCGGCCGACGAGCTTTTCTACAAAGGTCAACTCCTCCCTCTCCACCTCCCTCCTCGTCTCCAAATGGTCCAAAAGCTTCTCGCCTCTTCCTCCGCCGCCGCCGCCAAAGTAGATACTCCGATTTCCCCACGCGCCGCCGTATCCTCGCCGCGGAGATTCAGTAGCAGCGAGATCGACGTGAGCGGCACAGACGAGCAATGTTTCTTCGAGATTTCAACGGAGCTCAAGAGATTCATCGAGAACAACGAGAATCTTGGAAACAGTTGGAGCAGAAAGATAAAGCATTCATCTTTAACTCAGAAGCTCAAGGCCTCACGCGCTTACATCAAAGCTCTCTTCTCCAGACCAGGATGCTCAGATTCCTCAGAGATCCATCCAAAATTCAAAATTGAAGACATAAAGCCCTCTAAATCCTCGAAAAGGAAGAACCCATTTGGAAAAACAGAGTCCCCAAACATCAACGATACTCAATTGCTACACAGGAGATCGTTCTCTGGTGTGATACAGAGGCATTCTCAAGTGAAGTGTTCTTCGTCTTCTTCTTCTACTTCCTCCTCTTCTTCTTCTTCGCTGTCTTCGTCGTTCAGCTTCGGATCGAACGGGTCGTTGGATCTGCAGACGCTGATGAGAAGCAGCAACGCGAGCTCTGAGGTTGATAACTCCATTGAAGGAGCGATTGAGCATTGTAAGCAGTCGTTTACCACCACTAGGAAAAGCAATGTCGGTGATTCTGAGATCTCTTCTTCAAGAACCTCTGTTTCCACTTGCAGCGAACTTGAAAAAGGATGAAAATTTCCCAGAAATTTGACGGATCTGTGACGCTCTCTCTCTCTCTCTGATTCTCATTTTCCAAAAAAAAAGGACACAAAAAGTTCAAAAAAAAGAGAACTTTTTTCTTCTACTCTGTTTTTTTTTTCCTTCTTTTTGTATTAGATTCCATTGTGTGTTTTGTTTTTTAGAAGTTTGCTGAATTTGAGGCTTCTTTCTATGTTAATGCTACAAAATTTACTAATTTCAAGGTTCTAATTTGGGTTGTGAACAGAACACTGCTTTCTTTTTCGTTTGGGAGTTGGGACGTTAATTCGTTAGCTTTTTTAGTTTTGAGTTAGTAACTAACGAATGCTAAAGTTTCTCGTTTTTTTTTTGTAATTTCATCCTGAAGATAATAAACTATTAGTCATATGATATACGATGACAAAAGAAAATAGTGACACTTACCAAAACATTCTATTTAAAGAAAACATTTGAAATTTATATGTAATCCTGTTTTGACTTTTTAACAATAACTCTTCTCTGCGTTTTTTATAAAAGATATTGTTCCGTGAATATGCATTTATGACACATGACATAGAGGATGATTTTAGTAAACATCAAGATGTTGTACTGCTTGAGCTAATTTCAATTTAGTGTGTTCTTTTTTTTCTTTTTCTTTTTTTGACATCAAGTGGATTAATTTAGTTAGCTAATTTCAATTTAGTGTGTTCTTTTTTTTTTCTTTTTTTTTTTGACATCAAGTGGATTAATTTACAACTATTTCAATGCGTAATCATGAGCATTTTGCTTTGCCATGCTAATAATAGTAATTTCGTGTTGTTCTTGTTCTATGGTGCTAAACTCTAAGACCTTTGGCATTTATGTTACTCATCAGCTAGAGCCTAGAGATCACATGTCACTAGTTTTTTTCTTTGGCATTTATTATATGAGTTATATAATTATTTTTCTATTATAATCCGTTAAAAATGTTTGCATACGGTAAATTATATATAAATTCATATCAAAGGCTCTTTGCCATTAGAAAATGGCAGTAAAGTAAAAGGATACAACTTGGGATATAATAAATTTTTGAATATTAGTGGAATGACTTCGGTTTTGAGAAACTGTGGCTTAATATTAAACCCATAATTTCAACTTTAATTCGACCTTTAAAGCTTAATATTAAAATTTAAAACATGGAAAGCAGATTTCGCTTGTGAAAGCAAATGAACAATTGATAGATAAATTAATAGACGGAAATGTATCCTATAATCGAGTGGAGTAGATGGCTATAATAAATTCAAACTTTTATAGCGATGGGCAACATCGTATACAATCTGAAATTTAGAAGAACAACAGTTCCAATTTCTAACCAATCTATGTGGTGTCTAGTAACATATCGTTTTGTGCAAACTATAAATTCCCGTAACGCTTTTCCTGTTTAATAACTTTGAGTCTTTTAGTTTTTCTCGATTACTTTCAAGAGATTATTAGAAGCTTTAGGTTTTCTTCACACATATTAAACAATTAGTTGCAACTTGCAATTATAAGTTGATGCTTGTTTATATCAATTTTTGTTAAATTTTTATCTAAAAGTAATTAAGTAGAGATAACTTAAGAAGTAGAGTATAATGGGTAAATAGAAAACGTAGTACAACAAAACAAAACTCCAAAACATGTAACAATTTGAAAGAGATGGAATACAAATTTATGTCGTGAATTCAATGAACTGACTAAAATAATAGAGAGCTTCCAGAAAATATCATTGACTCTTTTCATGATACATCACTATATTAGTTTAAGTTCCGAATAATTATTAGCAAATTTTACTATTTAACACCATAGAAAGCTTTGGACCACTAAAAAACACAGATTTATGGTTTGCAATTTTCAGATTGATAATATACTTTGTTTTAATAACTATAACTCCGCCATATTAACAGATTCCATAAAAAATTAACATGTCAGGAACATTTAAGCTAGAGGAGTTTTTTTGGGTTAAGCTATAGAAAAGGAATTTTGAGTGGACCCAAAAGAAACGGAGGAAGCAAACTTAATAAAAGCGACTTTACAGCAATAGGATATCTCTCTCTATGAGCCCTCTGGTGTCTATTATATGTTTATTAAACAATATAGGTTGTATTTTTTTGTCAAACATTAAAATTAAATCATTTTTTTCCCAACGAATTTGTAATCATAGAGATACCATGCAAAGTAAATATAGGTCAATATGTTACACTTTTTTTATTTAAATTGTCTAGTACGTACATGTAGAAGATGGAAAAGCAAAAATAGGCCCATTTTTTTCGGGTCCAACTTTACATTCATATAAATCTTAAATGTAACCCCACAAACAAAAAAAAGGAATAACTCAAAGTGTCTTTGAAAAATATTGAAAATATAAAGGTTTCAATGATTGTGAGCTTCTTGATGTTTATCACTACAAGATATTTGGTCCCATTGATGATTTATTTGATTTATTCAAAGCCATAAATTAGATAGTGCGAGATTTTTGTATAACAAATATAAGTTGTTTGAAATGTGTGAGCAGTGAATGAAAGTACAAGATAACAATAGTCGCAATGACCAAAGATAAGACTATTTACATGCATGGTACCAGTAGATAAATGTAAGTGCAAAGTGCTTATAATCATTTATATACAATATACATGTATACATGATTAATATCATGTGGTTGTGCATTTTGTAAAAAAAAAAAATCATCTTGTACTATTTCGATTAGTTAAATAGACAAATATGAAATCCGCGTGGAGAAATCAAATCTAGTTGAAAATCTTTGGAGTCCATGGGAGGCATGATGAGTGTCAGCTGCATGAAAGTGTGTAGCTTTCGTTTTCCATGCATGATAGATTGATAGTTAAGCTTATAATAACTTGTTAAAGTTAAGCTTATAATAACTTGTTAAAGTTAAGCTTATAATAACTTGTTAAAGTTAAGCTTATAATAACTTGTTAAAGTTAAGCTATGATTTAATTATTTTACATAAAAGTAACTATTAAAAGTAGCTTGTTAATGATAAAAAAACACATAAACTTTACTTGTTATTAAAGTGCGACTAGTTAATTAACTATTAACAACAAATTCAAAACAACAAAAAAATATGAAACACGTAAAAAAAAATTCTCACTTTAGTCAGAAAGTGAAGAGCTAATCTCACCTATGTTTATGTTTTCTTGAACCATATTTCTGTCACTACCTAGTTAAAGTTAACCATTTTGGTGTTTAAATGCTAAACCTGAATTACAACATTTCATTGCTTTAGCTTCGCGCGAGAACCGGAAGCTAAAAATTGCAAATTCAGTAACTCTTTCCTGAGGAAAAATCAAAGGTGATTTCCTTTCTACTGATGCACCTAGATATACTTCGTAACTTACTCTTTTGCTGGGATCAAATGCAGAGATTTTCCAATCCTTCGACGGTTTCCTTCTGACTGGGACTTGTCTCGTAAATTTGTTTTGGATCGATTTTTGGGAAGACTTAGAAATCAGTGGCACATGCTATGTAAGTTTATGCAATTTTTTTTAAAAGAATTTGTTATCTGTAAAAATAAAAATAAATATAATTATATAAATACTATACCATAAATTCATTACACTCATAGTAACACATGTTGGTAATAATTGTACAACACAGTTGCAAGTATTCTCTTAAAAGCATGCTAAACAAAAACAATAATACATAACGTATTAATTACTTACTGTTACCCCATTCTATTATTATAAAATTAAATTTCATAATATACTTCAAATAAACTGTTCCCCTCGTAATAAAGTCCAAAAATCCACATGATCAACAACAGGAACCAGAAGATGAAGTGAGCCTTTCCACAGTTCTTGAGTTTTGACCATTCAAAAGTTGAATTGACGAACTAAAATCTTGTCAGTCTATTCGTACGAATTTAAACAAAAAAAAATATTACAAGATTCAGAACATGTGACGCAGACTCGTAGATACTACAAATAAATAAATCGAATAATAATTAAACCTATTTTGGGGACAATTCAGAAAAGAGAAGACTCAAAGAGTTATCCTGTGTCTCCAACTTAAATGGAAATAAAGCAAGAACACCAATTATGTCTGTACATGGAACCCACTTCACTTATCATAACTGGTTTCAACTGTTTATACACTTCTCAGCTATCTGAACAGTAAACGCTAACTACTAAAATCCATCTCACTTATACGAACTTCTCGGTTCTGCTTCTCAATCATCCATTTCACCAAATAAGCATGAACCTAACTTTACATCAATTACGAGCCACATCCTCTCGAATTGGTTTAAATTATTATGACCTCATATTATGTGATGTGCAATGAGACACAAGTGAAATTGAAAGCAAATAGACAGAGAGACAATGACAAAAAGAGAGTCTTTTCGTAATCACAAGCAAGTATGAGTTTTCGGACCACTTACTTTTCTGTGGATAGCTTGTCTTCTTCCCTGATCAAGAAAGCTTTTTTCCTCTCTAATGGATTTCTCCGTTTGGTACTGTATACTTGTAGCTTTTGTCAAGAGTCCCGACCCAACACACACCTAACTAAAGAAAGAGCACCGAATATGATAGATTGCAATCATAAGATTTCCATTTACTTTGTTATCCTCCAAGCTGGATTGTGAAGCAACCATTGAATATACCCCTTAGATAGAATCACTAAAGTCTATTCTCATTCAAAAGAGAAATATCACATCCCTGAAGTTAGTCAAATTCTGTAAGAAAAAAGGCTGACAAGAAAATATATTTCTTTTTGTTGTGAACATGTAGTGGGGACTACTATGTTTTAACTTAACTTTGATCACGTAATTCAGCTTAAGAATGTATGCATTTTTAGCCTTCAATAATGCATTGACAAAAAAATAATTGTCTGTATGAAACATTCCTCAACAAGGAATGTGATAGGACGACAAGATTTACAAAAGCAGAAACCGAATGTCTACAGAAATGATGCAGTTTCCGAGAAAAGTCCAGTAGCATCATCCAAATGATTTTACTTTTGTATGTATGATGTATCAAACAAGTTGAGATGGTAAAAGAAGATGCATAGATTCAAAGTAACACAATGTTTAATGTCACATCAGTTTTCCTGAGATATCTTCTTGCGTCAATAAGCCCATCCAAGAGAACAGAACAAAGTACGTGAATATAGGAGTGATTGAAATGTTTGCCTAACAATTCTGTTTACATAAATTTCCTAACAATAATGTAAACAAACCTGTAGCTTTGTGAGCTGATTGCATATAGCTTCCGATTTTCTCTGCATTGAAGATCAAAGAGAAAGGGAATATACTTCTACTTCTTCTTGGACGCTTCAGGTGCTACATTATCAAAATCAATCTGCAAAACCAACAAGATTAATTTGCCTCGTTAGAAATAGAGATCATCACCAGAAATACACATTTAAGGTTCAAACTTTGATCAGCAAAAACAAAAAAGGTTCAAACTTTGATCAGAGAACATCTGTTGAAGCAGCAAGAACGCATAACGACATCAATTTCAGCTATCAAATCAAGTATGTAATGAGCTCTCCAAAGCTGAACATAACTGATATAATGAAAACGCTTTAACAAATTCAAAAACCATACAAACGAAACTAGATACAAATTCGCCTCATACATGAAAGTCGCAGTCTGACATAATTTCGGATTTTTTCCGGTGATTTTGGCGACACGGAGGAGAGAAAGTTTCCGGGTAAGGTCCTTAAGCTGGCTCTGTCTTCGTCTAGTCTCGCAGCTCGTGAACTTCTGACCGTAGCTTCATACAAGAGAAAACGACAAATTTCTAAAACCACGAGGCAAGAATAGTCGGAAAGATCACTGCTACACCATTTGCGATCGACTCCGGCGAGGTCGCTTTCCTCTTCGCGGCTCTCTCCGCCCAACGATTCCGTGGGCTCGCGCGAAAGCCATAATTGGGCCAATTGGGCTTTAATCAATGCTTAACCCAGACTGTGAATAACCAACCGTGTCTAATTAATAAAGCCCATATTTTGCAAAGCCTAAAGGGATTTCTAACAACTTGATAAATAGGATTAGATGACAGGAGCTATACAGAAACTATTGTTGAGTCAAGTTTAAGAATGATAGTCTAGTAACCAAAATCATGCGTATTTTACTCATTTTAAGATAAGTTAATGTATGTTGAAACTTTTTAAATTAGCTATTTAGATTTTAAAGGTTAAGGTTATATTTTAGAATTTAGGATTTAGTTCTTAGAGCTTAGAGTTTGATTTCCATGGGTTAACAACGTTCAGAAATTAGAGTTTAAGAATAGACTTTGTTTTATTGACTAATTTGAAAAAAAATCTAGATCATTTTAAAATTTTGATAAAATTTTATACTATCTTTGTAATCCTGCCAAATTAAGTAATATGCATTACACGTTATGTACGACATTATGTATTTGAGTGTTATTCATCTATCTTATATAAGAAATAATTACAGTAAAAGGCACTTTTCAAACTCATATTACACTATAAGGCACTTTTAGCTATTAGGTGACTTTTCTATTTTTCATTCCGAAATTGTCCTTGTGTTCACGATAATGGTGGATATGAACTTGTGGATACCGAATTAAACCCAGATTTTAAAACTAGTAATTATTTTTCCCCTTTTGTATTTTTCTGTATTGTGAAATATTTAAAATATTTTTTTTTGTTAAAATGAATTCTAATTTTATTTTGTCATTCTTTTAAGATCCATTATGCTATACTTTATTTATCAAACAAGAAACTTTTCAAATAACCTTTATAAAAATTTTAAAAAAATCAGAAATCTACTTAGATATCCATTCACAAAATACGATGTGGATGATGCGTGATGGACATATAACTTGGACACAATTATGTGGATAGGTTTTCATTCATTTATTCGACGTGGATATACATTTTATATTGTCTATAATTTGGACATGATCATGTGGATAGGTTATTGATAATATAATATGTATATCCATATCGAATCTATCAATAAAAAACATATCCACACGATCATGTCCATAGTGTGGACAATATAAAATGTATATACACGTCAAATATATGATTGAAAATATATCCACGCAATCGTATCCATGTTATATGTCCATCATGCATCATCCACATCGTATTTAGTGAATGGATATCTAAATAGATTTCTGTTGTTTTAATTTTTTTTTATAAAGGTTATTTGAAAAATTTCTTGTTTGATAAAGAAAGTATAACATAATGGGTCTTAAAACAATGACAAAATAAAATTAGAATTCAATCTAACAAAAAAAATTATTTTATATCTTTTACACTACAGAAAAATACAGCACAACTGAAGGGGAAAATAATTAATGTTTTTAAAATTTGGGGTTTAATTCGGTATCCACAAGTTGCATCTACCGTTCTCGTTAACACAGGACCAATTTCAGATTATTTTGGTGTGAACAGTGTTTAAAGTATAGAAAAAGTATCATAATAGCTGAAAGTGTTTTTTTTTGTAAGAAGAAGTTGTAAAAGTGTCTTTTAGTGTAAATCACTCCTTATATAATATCATGTAGGAGTTTTGAGCTGAATTTTAGTTAAGGACTAAGAGCAGCACACGATTACGTCTTTTCACCTAGTAAGAGCTTAAAGGTTAAAACCGGATAAAACCTCATTTGTTTTGTAAATCCAAAGACAGAATATTCCTCGTGTTTCTAGTTGTTGCAGATCTCAATAAAAGATCCACATTAGTAAATAAATTAGTGAAAGGTTGAGAACAAAGATAGATAAATTGTGGTAATCCTACAAAAGCTCTGTCCGGCTCTAACATTCAAGCATCACGTTGTCCGTTTTATAAGGAAAATTCCACTAATACTCTTTTCTCAAGATTTTATTTTTATCTGTTTTTCTTTCCGACCGTTACCATATGTCTCGTCTCTCTCTCTGACACAGATACAGTGTTTCATTTATTATAATAAATAAGAATCGACAAAAAAACAAAAATGAAATAAATAAGAGGATTGAAGTAGGATTTGGAAAAGGCTCGTGAAAGATGTGTCCCACGGTCCACGCCCGGCATATGCATCCAGTGACAGTGAGCATCCAACATATTAAAAACTAATAATAATACTTAATCGTTTGCTTTCGAAGATTATGTGTTTATAAAGTGTTGATATAGAGACTCGTTTGCTTAGAGACCTTTTAGGTTTTCCTCATAAAATTAGTTGGTGTCTTTTTTTTTTGGAAAATGCCCTAACTAATGCAAGTAGTCAGTGCCAACCAAAAACAAAGGTACACTCTCTATACTCCTAATTAGTGTGATTATATAGCACAGCTAAATAGTCTTTAGTTTCGTCATATTTGTAACCATGTATTGTCTCTTAATACAAGAATAAATTAATTTAACATTTTGGGTCACGTGATGACCTTAATTATTGACTGCGGCTGGGCTCGAACCCTAAAAAAACAATCATGATAATAATTGATTGATGCTTTTGTTTTCTTAGGGACGGTGAATGCAAGGCAATATTTGCATACAAAGAAAAAATAACAAAATGCAAGATACATATATGGACAAATAACTCGTTATCATACGAGCGTTACACTTTTAACTCTCTTTGTCTCTATTCCAATCCAATTCTCTCTCTCTCTCTCTCCTCTAGTCTCTATATAGGAGGAGTAAAGACATCCTCATCATATGATATGACGCACAGATACATATATATATTAACATTCTCATCATCAACATTTCGTTAAGCTCTTTCTTAATTACAGCATTTTGGTATTATTTTTTCCTGTTTGGTTTTCTTACTGTCAAAGAAGAAAAACAAAATGAAGGGACGTATGTTCTGCGCTTCGCAAGCATCAACAGCCATATGTTCAAGCATGGACCACATTCATCACAAACCAACCACCACCACCGTCGAGGATGAACAAAGCATAGGACGAGCTATCGACCGCCACAATCCGATCATTAAAGATGGCCGGAGATCCTCCGTCGACGACTACATCAGAATACCGGCTTCCCCCGCCGAGGGAGAGATCAGTGATAAGAAACTAGAGATCTATAAAGGGAGGAGGAGTTTCACTGGCCGGAAAAGCACCGGCGGTGGCGGAGGCGGAGGTGGAGCGGCGGCGTTGTTGAAGCTCATAACAAACGACATAAGCTTGGCGAGGAAGAGTTTCAGCTGTGTTGCGAGACCCGCATGTGACTTTGTCAAAACCCCTCCTGGTTCTACAAGGTATCTTTTGGGATCCGACCCGGATTTTCTTTCCGAGTCTTCGGGTCAGGACCCGGTTAAGACGGCAGCTCCTCCTCAGTCTCATGCTGCTGGTGAAGAGATAAAGCCCTCGTCGTTGTTGACGGAGAAGAAGACTAGTGGTGGCTGTTCTGATGACAAGGTAAGTTGTTTGGTGGAATGAGTGGCAGAACTGTAAATAAAGTGGTGATAAGAGGGTAATTTGATAAGAATTTCGTTTTCAGGAGCAGCAGGTCGTTGTTCTCAAAGTGTCTCTCCACTGCAGAGGCTGTGAAGGAAAAGTTAGGAAACATCTGGCCAGAATGCAAGGTGATGAATTATTCTTCTATTTACGACTATGCCACTTGCTTCTTGTTTTTTGGTTATGTTTCGGTTTAATAAAATTATGAATCAAAATTAAAAGTAAGCTTGGCTCAAATTTGGTAAAAAAGAACCCGAATCAGAGAACTGGATTCTGTTCCAATTTTCTCCAGGCCCACTTTGGTTTGGTTATTGTGTTCATACCCGAGCCGGTCTGGTTCATTATTTTCGATCCGGTTTTGGTCTAAAGTTGGGTAACTAAATGAATTTGTTTCCTTTGTAGGTGTGACATCCTTCAACATTGATTTTGCTGCAAAGAAAGTGACTGTGACTGGAGATATCACCCCATTAGAAATATTGGATAGCATCTCAAAGGTTAAAAATGCCCAATTTTGGACAACTCCAACAATCCCAACTCCAAATATTGGAACTCAGAATCCTTAGTTTACTTTTACTGTCTTATCTTTCTTTGTCTCTTGTTGTAAAATCAATGGTACTTTACTGCACTTACTTATCCTTGTCATTACATGTTTACATTTTCACAAATGTTTTAGTATAATACATATAAGATATTATGTAACTTTCTAGAACAATCAAATACTTTTTTACGAGATTTCTCATATCACTAGCTCTGCTATGAGTCCATCTGTCAACATTTCTTCAATCTCCTTGCCTATCACTTCAATGTCATCTTCCAAGCTCGGCCACTGCAACCTCTTCTCCTTTGTCTCTCTACTTGGTTTCATGAACTTTATAGTGACCATCTCGCGCAGAGTTTCTTGTATCTTGTTTATCTCCCATTTTGGGCAGACCTTTGTGGGTTGCAGATCCTTGAACTGCTCGAAGAACTCAAGAATCTCACTGTTTATCCTATCAAAAAGAAGCTTCCTTTCTAATCGGCTTGAGGTTTTCAAACTGGAGTATGTGTACTTCTTCTCAAGATTCTCAAACAAGGATGGATCTACAGGTGATTCAAAAGAGTGCCATGTTTCCACGAAGCTTTGAGGGCTCAAGTCACTGAACTTGCAGTTTGCTAAGACATCAGCTAAGTATAGTGACTTCCAGTCTTCTCCTGGCTCTTGGGTGATCACCGTCTTATCTGTTACTATGGATGATTCATCTTGATTTGAGTCTTCATCGCTTGAAATGAGCATGGGGTCCTCGTTGTACGTACCTGACTCGCGTTTGAGTTGCTGAAGCTGCATTCTGAGCCCTGGAAATGAAAGAGAAATCCTTACAAACATTTTTCAATTGTTGAAACATTTTAGTGTTTTCGCTATCCACAGAATCAAACTAGTATATGCAAAGGCCATTTTTCGAATTGCTGACTGAAAACGTAACAACATAAAAGAGGAAAATACTTAAACAGGGAACGAATCAAAGGACCACCAATAAGATATGATTGAGATACCTTGGAGATCCGCGCTAAGACTCTCAAAGCACTCGGAACTGGATGAAAACTCGTCATGAGAAGAAGTTTGTAGGATTGAAACGGGACTTAGTTGATTTCCTTCCTCTGCACTCTCCTGAGGCTGTAGTTGAGGAATAGAAGAATGATCGACTTCTTCGGTTAAGCTGCCCGAAATATCCTGGAAATTCATCAAAATAATAAAAGATCTGTCAGTCCAACAGCCAATAGAGTAGGCTCTGGAACACAAACCCATGATGTTGAAACATTATTTCTCACTTACATGGTCAGTTAACGAGGTAACTTCTGACAAATGGAGTGATTCCAAGGATGGAGTACTCTTAGCATCCTCATAGTATGAACCATTTTCTGAATCTGCATTAACTGTTTTTATAGAAGGAAGCTTATCTTCGGATAGCTCACCGTCCACTTGAAGAATTTTACTTGAACTTGGTCTGTTGATCTCTGACGAGCTACTGTCTGGAAATTGAGAACTAACACTAAAGGGCGTGGAATTGTTAGAAAAGAAATATTCCCTATGGTGAAAACAACTCCCCTTCTCTAATTCATCTCGAGTGATTAACTTCTTAGGGAGCACAATCGTGTAACCACAAGTTCTGTCCTCATGCATGATCGTTCTGGGCTTCGAAAGGTTTCTTCTACCAGTACCTTTCCAACCATCTCTGCTGCTAATTCTAATCGGCTCTGGCAACTCAGACGGTCCAACATTGCACTCAAGTCTTTTACCAATCCCCTCTTCGAAAGTGATCCCATCAAAACCTGCTGGTCTCGACTCTCTGTCTGAGGTTGCAAGCATTTCAGCCAATGTGTTTCTTCTTCTAATTTCTATCTCTCGCTCAGACTTGTGTGCCATCTTCCACCTCTCCGACAGTCTCCTCATGGCCTCCTTACTCACAGATGATTCTGGTGACCTGGAAGGCAGATATCGACGTTGCTTCTTGCGGGCAACGTCAGTTCTTGCTCCTGAAATCACTGACACTAACTTAGATTCACTTGAAGAATCACTCCCAGATGAGCTTTCATCCCCTGCGTAACCTCTAAACCTTGAAATCTCAAAGTTCATGGAATTGCCACAACTTGCCTTCATTTGCCTTGACACAATCCTAGCAATTGCTCTGGGATCTCTTGGCTTGTGTCTTAAAATAGTAACATCTTCTTTAGCTTTCAAACCTCCAAATGCTTTTGACTCCTGGTTGCTGGTGCATGGAAGCCTGCGATCTGCCCTGACCTCATCAGAAGAAGAGCTCTGTGATGGAAGAGTTCTACCAGTGGTCTGTGACTTCCCAAGATTAGGTTTCAGGACAACAATTTCGGTCGGTTTTAAACCACTTCTCTTTTTCCGCTGCTTCTTTGATAGGTCAACTGTATCGTCATACGGAACGCTCCTAGTGTTAGAATGGCAGGGATTAGCACCACCACCATGCCATTGATGTGATCTGTGACTCCTCCCTACCAGCTCTCTGTCCACTTTCAGAGTTCTGACATTATCTACATGATTTGGGCTGTTGGACAACTTCAAAGTGGTAGCTTGACTGCAATGTGGTTTTGGAGCTATGCTTTGAAGATCAGGCAAATGTTCTGTGAATAATGAATCTGGATGATGAATGAACTTCAGTAAGAGGTCCTTGTTGGAGTCTAGAGCCTCAAGAGTCTCATTGAACTCTTTAGAATAACGAAGTTTCTCATCAGTCGATAGACGCTTAGCCTCCATGAACTTCTGGCGTATAAACGCCATCTCTGCCTCAGTGAGATTAGCATTCACCCTCCTCTGATGCAAACTTCTACTCTCCTTTTCAGCGTCCAATACTTCAAAGACATCTTTGAATCTCTGCTCGTCCATTAAGCCCCTACTAGAAGATTCATGGTCACCATAGGTTTTTTTCCCAAGAGCCTTTTCAGATCTTATCGGCCTGCGTTGTTGATTCTCTACAGACTTGTCTTCCCTGTGAGGAGAACTCTGAGGAGGCAGCCCATCAAGACCCATCAATCTCGCTATAATGCTGGGAGATCTACTTCTAGACCCGTTTTGCACTGACATTTCTTGTGTTAACAAACTTTTCATTGTAACTCCACTGATTTAGTGAGCAGTTTTCAGCTTTCCCAACTACAAACGCCAACATCAAGCGATCAGTACATCGTGTGTATGTGTGCAGGGATGTCTATATGATTGTTACCTAAAAGAAAATGCTTACCTTGTCTACACCTAGAGCGTCGCAGCGGCAAGAGTTAAATTCAAAAGATACATATAGAGAGATTTCTGCCTGGAAATGGATCCAACAATCAGAATGCGTTTGATTTTTTTAGCACAAAGAAAAATTTGGGAAGAGAGCATAATAAAGCAAAGTTTATGAGCAATCGTTACGTGTAATTTATATACCATAAACCAGTTGAAATCAAAGTAATAAACAAGTTAAGCCAATCATGACACTACCAAACAAGCAAAGACAGGAGTTTTCAACAGAAAGATCACAAACTTTCTATCAATCTGTAGTTTTTACTCAAGAAACGAAACAGGAGCGGTGTTTGTTTATTCCTCCAGAATCAGAGCTTATCAATAAACCAATTTGAGTTATTGAAAAATTAACAGTACACTCGTAACTGATGATAAGCTACATTACTCAGTAATTGAAATCCTCCAACAACACAAATAAGAAATTATCAGAACACGATTTTTTTTTTGGCTGGTGAGAAAATTTCGAAACTTCTTGGGGAAATTTGACAGTTGAATCAACGCAAATTCGAGTAATAAATATGTGGTCCAGCAGAAGATAGAGCGATTAACTTCATTTTCTAGCGTTTTATCGAAAGCCAAATATGGAAGAAAAGAGGGAAAGGGAAGAGAGAGAGGAGCAATTCTAACCTTGACAACAATTGCCTACTGTGAAAACAAGTCGATCTGCTCTAAATTTAGATTGGCGAGACGAAATGCGTTCATCTTTCACTCACTCGTCGTAATCGGAAGAAGAAAATCTCCCCGGAAAACATTTCAGGTCATTTGAATTGAAGATAAGGTATATTATCAAGAGGGTAAGCTAAATCGGAAATTCCGGGAAATTTGCTGGAGCAGATACAAATCAAAAGAACATTTCCCAGAATTCATGGAGCATTTGAAAAAAAATTAGAAAATGGTGGCGATTCTCTTAAATTAATTCACAGAGAGATATCGACAAGAGAAGAACACGAGAGCGAAAGAGACTGGGCAGAGAGAGAGAGAGAGGACGACTTCGGCGTAAGAGACATTGCGAGGGGGCTTTGATGTGATTTTGAAAGTTCAAATTAAAATTTTTAAACAAATCTGTACAAAATGAAGACGGACAAATAAGTTTTTTTTTTTTCGTTTTCTTTAATTTTCGTTTCCGTATTTTTTTTCCTCATTATTAAACCGGCCGGTACAATTGGAAATAGAGAACCATAGGAGATCATTACCACCACTCAAACAACAATCTCAACATGACAATAGCTCATAATGCATACACATCTAAAGAAAACACTGCAAGAAATTCCAAGCTTCCACATTTAGTATTCAATTCATGCATCGACACAAGATCTTGGCAAACAATTCATGCTCAACTACGTTCTACAAACATCTAAATCACCAAGAAAAGCCTGCAACACAACCAACAAAGTCACATTCAAGCCTGCCAAGTACCAAACATTCTTCTTCTCATTACCATTGCCCATTCAACTCTTTGATCCAGACATCTCTCGCTGCACCTTCTCCGCAAAGAGCTTCGTAGCAACCATATTATCCATAAAATACTCCCTGTAAGGATGATTCCTTGGGACAAGTTTCCTGAACTTCTCAAACTGTTTCTCCGCCTCTTCTTGCTTCTTGAGCACCGTGTATATAATCCCTTGACACAGATACGGCCTGAAATCTCTCGGTTCTTCCTTCACTAGCTCCTGATACAGCTTCAGTGCTTCGTTATGCTTCCCCTCAATGACCCGAATCTGCGCCACAAGAAGCTTAAAATCCCTAAGGTCCTTACGATTCTTCTCTTTCTTGCACCTCTCCATTGCCTCCTGAATTCTCTTCTCCACCGCAATCAAATCATCACCTGAATCGGAACAAGCCATAACCAGTCCGTGATAGGCTTCGACGCGAAGCGGATCCTTGGCTATAATCTCTTCAAATCCACTTTTGGCAGACTCTAAATCTCCACTGTGACTAAAGATATTGGCTTTCAAAACTGGCCACTCTTTTTCCTCTGGTTCCAATTCTATCAAACGATCGATCACCTCTATTGCTTCTATAAGCTTCCGAGATTTGATCCTTACCTCCATCAACGAACGTAGAGCTTCCACGTCTTCAGGGTGAGAAGCGAGATGCTCTTCTATCGATCTCTCTTCTTCTTCAAACGAAAGGTCTCCGCTTTTCTGTTTAAGAGATCCCACTGAGGGCGTCGCCGCGAGAGGAGCTGCAATCGCCGGCGGAGGTCTGAGCTGGAGATTCGCGAAGAACAGCGCCGCTGCAGCGGTGAAGGTGATGCAGGTGGATTTGAGGAGACGGGAAGGTAGTGATTGCAAGACTGGGAGTGTCGAGTCTTGAGATTTCGATGACGAAGCTCTGATGGTAGCGCATTTGAAGGACGAATCTGATCGGCGTAAGGATCGGAAGGAAAGCGACGAAGGATTTTGGGGGATTGATGAAGAGAATTGAGTGAGAGAGAGGTGAACAGGCTGTTGATTGAGCTGTAGCTTCCCCAGAGACACCATGATTATACAGTACAGAGAGAGAGAGAGAGATAAACCCTAAAAACCCAACAGCGAGATCGAGGAAGAAGATCAATACGCCTTCACCTTCGAGTGTGCTGTAACTCTGTATGGTACGACGCCGTATTGGAAAGAAAGACGTATCCGAATTCGGGTCTTTTTATAAGCCCGAAACTAGAGCGGATAGTATCCAAAGGAAATGTGTTTTTTTCACAAATCAAATGCTAATCTCTTTCCATAATCCGTATAATGTTAGTGACCTCCTAAAAGAGTCCATATGGTGTTTCATCTTTGACAAGTATGTTTGCTTTTGTGATTCGCGAATATGCAGAGTATCTGCTTGGATTGAAACCATGTACGTTCTTCTGCAAAATCTTCAAACCAAAAATATGATTTTGCAAACCACTCTGTTTTTGAGCTTTTGTCTATGTATAGCTTCAAATAAGATCTTGCCAAAAAATTTGATCTTTTTGCATACAGTTTGATGAGGTTTCCGAGAGCTAACAGTATCAAGAACTTGCTTCGTCTACATAATCGACAGTGTTTGGGTTGTTGGATGAAGAAAACTCTAGAGTGATTCTATAATCAAGCTAACACTTAAATACTGGACCAAATAATTCCATTGAACTTCAAAGGATTCATTTTCATTGCTCAAATCCTCAAACATTCCCACTGGGGCCTATTATAAAAATCTAAAACTACATTATTTAAGAACCAACAATAGTTGGGGAATGATTTCACAATGAGAATATTCCTCCAAGACTGCGCACACAGCACGTCGAACACAACTTTAATCGAAAGAAGATAGAGAGAGAAGGAGAGTGTGTAGATTCTCCCATGAACAAGGAGAATTCTGCAGATAGACCGACAACTATAAAACTAAAACAGACCGTTGAAGTGCATACACTAAACAGACTTTGAAGGCAGAGAAGGCAACGATTTAGGATAACAGAGAGATCCATCCACAAGCTTACTTGTATTCAAATGACGGCACCGGAGGTGCATCAAAACTCTCTAATACCTTTGTTTCACTTCCGCTGCTCGTTTGCTGCTCATCATTCTTCTTACCAAAAAGCCCTCCCAACCATGATGATGATGAAGCAGTATTCTCCGGCATCATCTGTCCTTGATTCGGCATCTGCATTCCAGGCATTCCAGGCATCCCCTGCATCCCGGGCATTCCAGGAACAGGCTGCTCCTCCATCATTTGACCAGGCTGAGGCGGAGTCATTAGCTTGTTCAACATAATCCCTGCTCCTTCAATCAAACCAAGCAAAACTCCTCCAAAAATGGCTGATCTTACAGCTGCTGTAGGCCCTTGTCTCATCGACAGGAACCCTCCGGTTGCAGCACCTGCAATGATTGAGTTCCATGGATCCTCCTTCTGCCTGATGTACACCATGGTGCAATCAAATGTCGAGAATAGACCTCCCCAAACAGCGAAGCTGCCTCCAATACGAGGAGCGTTCATGCTCACCGCTTGTGTTCCTCCAACAAAGCGACCTCCTTTCGGGGAATTGTATGTCCCTTTAAGGAAGTGAAAGGCGGCTCCTCCAACAGCTCCCATACCAAACGCACCACCGATGTCATCGAGGATACGGTCAGGGCAAGGCTCTCGAGATGCTTCTGGTGTTCCCATCAATTAAAAACCCAAACTTTACCAAATAGTCCCCTCAGGTAACGATGATATCAACCTGTAAGTGACGTAATAATAATAAGAAGATTGATTGATTGATCGACGAATAAAAAAAAAGTAACAATACATGAAGGGCAAATCAGGCCGAAATATTCATCATTTCAATTTTTTGAGTCCATAAATCAGTGGAACCTATAAATTAGGGTTTCTAAGACACAGCGATCACAAGTCCGATCCATGACTAATTTCGATTAACACAGACTATTCAAAGGTTAAAACTTTCTACAATCGAACAGAGGCGATTAGGGTTTATCAATCTCTCCGCGCTATAAGATCGAAGGTAGAAAACTTGTGTATAGAAATGAATTGTGTGAGAGGAAAATCGAAGCATACCTGGGAAATCGATAGGATGGGCGCGAGTTTGAGAGAGAGAGACAGTGAAGGAGGCGCGAGGGAGAAGAAGAAATGGCGTCGAGGCTTTTTTATTAGGGTTGGGCGGAAAAAAAAATTATACTCTAATTTCCTCTTTTTCCAAAGCCTTTTTTTTTTCCCGGCCATCGCTCATTTTTTTTCCTTTTATGGAATTTTTTTTATTTTCAACAAACGCATTTGCCAGAACGGCACGAAAATGCTACGTCAGCAGTCAGACAGACCAGTGTAGAGAAATGCTTACCAACAAAAAAAAAATGTCTAGAAAAAATCTGTTTTTTCTTACGTGGCATTACGAAAGACTAAAAAATGTTCTGATATTTCTAGTACGAGGTTCACAGCCCAACGAAGAAAAAGTTAAACTCTTATAAAGCATCCAACTTATACACAACTCTGAAGAAAACCCAAGCTATTCTCCAAAATCTGTTGACCTATTATGAGCCAGTTCCTTTTGAATCTATCTAACCATCGATCGTTTCAGACTAAACTCTGGGAGTTTCATATCCGTAGAGAAAATGTCATAGTTACATACTTGGTGACCGATCAAATATATTGCTCCATCTTGCAGAAGGACTCCGATCAAATAAAATTTTCCTTCCTTCAATGATCCGTTTTAATCCTACAATTGAAAATTAGCAACTATGTACATTTAAACTTGCATTACTTTCTCTTCAAATTTATCTATTTCAGGAAGGGAGGATCTGTAGAATTACCCAACCATACATAACACTCCAAAGAGACAGCATTCTACACCAAAGTTTTTTTTTATTATTAATACATCTAGTTAGTACATAATTGATTAATAATTATCTTACTTTTGAGCTTTGTTAAGTAATTAAGCGATGTAATGAACAAGTATTGATTGTAAACACGTTTAAAAGGATAAGACAACCCAACAGTTTGTAGAAAACTTTTGGGGGTACTGAATCTAAACTAATTTTCATCTATATAGTCCAAATCACACAATTTTTTTTTTTCACAAACTATACAAACTAATAAATCTGACCAGTAATCACATAACCTACTTGAATCCAATAATTTGACTTAAATCAAAAACTTATGAAAACTCACGACAATCAAACAACCAAATGACCAACAACCTATATCTAAATTAAAGCATAAAACTAACTTACTAAGTGTAACACATTTTTAAGTTATTGAATATCTGACGTATTAATAGAGAAAATTAATTATAACTTGTATTTGACACGGTGTCTATGATTCTGAGAATGTAAATTTCTAAAAACAACCAATTTCTAGCCTCGTGTTATGATATGAGACGCCAAAATTTCCTGTCTTTTATGAACCAGAAGACCAAACAGATGAGATACAATGTGTTCCCAACACGAAAAAAAAAAAAAACAAATTAAACATGTACCGAACGGAATTAAATTTCATGCGGAACTTAATACATCAAGCTAAACCGTGCCTTTTTGCATGGGAAAGACCGGTTTAACATCCCTGAACCCAACTCCAAACCTGCATCTTTCCAATTCCCGGTGGTTGAATGGCCGATACTATTACTCAGAACCGGTCTTTAAACCGGAGGATTTATCCATTTCGGAACCGGACCGGTTACGAGCAGTGACTGAAGCAGCTGTCCAGCTTCACTGACAGAATGAAAAAACTTACCGTTCTCCGGCAACACTCCTCCGATAATCTCCAGCACAACGGTCTCAAAATCTCTCCTGTTATGAACATCAAAACCCATCTGATTTGACGAGGAGCCGTAAGAAGCAGAATCAGAGATCGCCGGCGAGTCATTTTCACCTGGTGGGCTCGAGACAAAGTTATCCAGCGGCGATGCGATGGAGAATCCCGACGGAGAATCGCCGGAGAAGTGAATGTAGTTGCAGTTTTGAAGACGGTTAGTTTCATCTATGGCTTCTGTGTAATAATAAGGAGGTACTTGTTGTTGGCCGGACAACAAAATGTTGTTGACGAGTTTCTCTAGTTTAGCGATTTGAAGGAGCGACTGTCGCAGACGTTCGCTTGATTCGTGTTTTTCTCGGTGAGCAATTGTCAACTGACAAGATAAATCTTGCAGAATTTCTTCATACATCTTTATTTTTTTTTCCTTGAGAAATCCTGCTCTGCACAAAATTCAAAACATTTTTTAATGGTCACAGCTGATTAAGTTGTCTTTGTTCTTGGAAAATATACACTAATAAGAAGGAAAAATATCAATTACCTAGATATTTTAAGATCTTTTACGCCAAACTATCCATGGAGCTTCAATCGAGAACGAAGATTGGAGGTTTAAGAAAATTGGGATTTTTAAGGAGGCTAAAATGTATCATTTAATTAGCAATTATAACGAGGGATTTCGTCTTACTAGTGATAATGAATATATGGAAACAAAAGGTTTTATCATCGTCATCTTCTTTATTTCTCAGAGCTATTGCATATTTTACAAATGGATCTTTCAACTTTTAATTAAGGAAGTTCATTAATTAAAAGGGAAATTAAATATACGGTTGTGTTAATGCATTCCATATGGGAGAGTGACGGTCAAATTATAAAAAAAAAAATACATGTGAGAGAGAGTGAGAAAAGAAAAGTAAAAAAGAGGGAAAAACCGGTTCATAATTTTTTTCTTCCTAAAATTAAAAGAGTCTCATAAAACCGGTTCGACTCATGATCCGGAAGGCGTAAGAGCATACTGCGGAGGCCGGAGAAGAAGGAAAAAAAAAAGAAGCTGAAGCATCGATGGAGATAGCCGCCACGAGCACTGTCACTGTTGCGCCGCAATTGCGTCGATACTCACCTGCCTTCTCCAGGACCATTGGATCGCTACCTTCTCTTCGGTTCAATCTCTCAAGGAGAAACTTCTCCGCCGGAAGTCCAACTCTTCGCGTATCGGCCGGCTCCATTAGCGCCTTCGCCGCCGATAAAATCTCGCCGGAAAGTTTCTTAGATAAGAGAGAAAGCGGAGTTCTTCATTTTGTCAAGTATCATGGCCTTGGAAACGATTTCATTTTGGTACCGCCAGATATTTTATTTTTCTCCGATCGAAATTGCCTAGACTCAATAGAACTCTGTTAATCGAGAAGTTTTTGTGATGAATTAGGTAGATAATCGGGATTCATCGGAACCTAAGATAACGCAGGAGCAAGCGGTGAAGCTGTGTGATCGAAACTTCGGTGTTGGTGCCGATGGAGTAATCTTTGCAATGCCAGGCATTAATGGCACAGATTACACCATGCGAATATTCAACTCTGATGGTAGTGAACCTGAGGTAAAAGTCTTTTAATTTTGCCTGTGTTGATTAACCGAATCAGTTCGGATTTTGAAAGCTATAAAAAAAATCAAAGTCTTTCTGTTTTGGTTAGATGTGTGGAAATGGAGTTCGATGCTTCGCTAGATTCATTGCTGAGATTGAGAATCTTCAGGGGAAGCATAGGTATTATATTCATAGATAGATCTATCAGATATTTCTGATAAAAAGGGTCACACTTGCGATGATTCTCAAGTTTTTTTTGTTTTTCTTATGGCAGTTTTACAATACATACTGGTGCTGGTCTGATCATTCCAGAAATTCAAGATGATGGGCAGGTGAAGTAACAAGCTTTCATTCAAGTAGAAGTTGAAAAAACAAAAAATTTCCTAGTAAAGCTTTTTTTATTCCTCAGTTAAACTGGTAAAGCCTTAATATGGGTACAGGTTAAGGTTGATATGGGAGAACCGATCCTCAGAGCTGAAGATGTGCCCACGAGATTGGCAGGAAACAAAGGTGAGTCTGTTGTTGCTGCGGAATTAGTAGTTGATGGAGTAAGCTGGAATGTGACATGTGTAAGCATGGGCAACCCTCATTGTATCACATTTGGCACTACGGGTGGTCAGGTGCGTGTTTGCTACTCGTGGTACTTTTCTCAAAGGAGATTCTGTACGTAGTGATGTAGATATGAGATGCAAATTGGAAGCTACTCATATAGTTTGTGATTTTTTCTGTTTGAATTGACTAGAACTTGAGAGTTGATGATTTGAAGTTGTCAGAGATTGGTCCCAAGTTCGAGCACCATGAGATGTTCCCAGCTCGAACTAACACAGGTTAGGAGATTCATTCAAACATTGCAGATTCAGCAATATTTCTTTGCAATTTCTCATAAGTGATTATATCTCTTTAAACTTTATCTGCAGAATTCGTGGAGGTCTTGTCACGTTCACATTTGAAAATGCGTGTCTGGGAGCGTGGTGCAGGTTAGCCAAGTCCCAGAAATCCTCGGCATCAGTTTCTTAGTAGAAAAGTCCTCTATATATCCTCATTATATACTTAAAAGCATAAGCTCAAATTGCAGGAGCAACTTTGGCTTGTGGAACAGGAGCTTGTGCGTTGGTTGTTGCAGCAGTACTTGAAGGTCGAACAGACAGAGTAAGTTCGAATCACACACACAATTGCTAGATAAGATATGTAGCAATCAATTAAGAAGCATGAAGTTGTGTCAGTCAAACTAATATTCAGTAGCATTGTCTCAAACTTATTAAGAGATGTGACCAGAGCAGCTGGGATTCCTTTTTCCATTATGCTTAAATTAAGATAGATGATGAGTTCGAGCTCTTAATCTCTGTGTTTATTTTTGTGTTTTTGGAATGGTGGAACAGAAATGCACGGTGGATCTACCAGGTGGACCGTTGGAGATAGAGTGGAAAGAAGAAGACAACCACATCTACATGACCGGCCCTGCTGATTTGGTGTTTTATGGATCAGCCCTGCTCAGTCTCTAACCCACAGTTTTTTTGTTTTAATGTTCCAAAATTTGATAAAAATAGTTCCATGATCTATTATCATTTTTTTTTAATTAAAAAAAACAGCAAACATTGATCTATTATCTATATTGTTATCTAAATGTATTTTGCATTCTGGAAAAATATGAATGCCGAGACATGAGCTTACATGTTTTGAACATACATTTGATGATTAACTTATATGGCCATTTGCTTTTTAGGCTTTTAACTTTTGAAAAATGAGAAAGTAGAGTGGTCGACTAATTTCGAATTTTGGAGCCAGCCGGGCCCACATCTCTTCTTACACACTACGCTCCGATATTCCCCTTACGGTTACTAACCCCAGTTTTTCAAATTTGAAACGAAATTATTCTGAGAACAAAAAAAGGGAAGAAAAAAAAAGTTTCAATCTTTCGATCTCAAAGAAAGATCCCTAAATCTTTTTGTGTTGGATTCCGATTTTTCTTTACACGGGCTCCACTTCAAGTTTCGGCTGTGTTTCTGTAAGTGGATCTCTTGCTCTGATGATGGATTCTGAATTTATTAGCTTTCTCAATTGATTAGGTCTTCAGTTTACTTAAATCCTACCTTAATTTGGAGTTTTGTAAAAGATTTCGATTTGAATTCTACAGTGTTTTTTATCATTTTGATCATCAGAAAATCGAAATCAGCTATGTCGTTTACTCCCGAGGTTTCAAGGAAAAGCGGACTAGGTGTGATCCCGTCTCCTGCGCCGTTCTTCACTCCTCGTCCTGAGAGAAGACGAACTGATTCTTTCACTAGCCGCCTCGAAAGAGACAAAGAGGTCAATGTTCAAGTGATTCTCCGATGCAGGCCACTAAGTGAAGAGGAGCAGAAATCAAATGTCCCCAGAGTGATCTCTTGTAACGAACAGAGGAAAGAAGTCAATGTTCTTCACAGTGTTGCTAATAAGCAAGTGGACCGTGTTTTCACTTTCGACAAGGTTCTATTTTTTTTTCCTCCTTGATTTGTTCCTTAATAACTTATACTAAAGATCGGCTCTTTTTGTCTGATTGATTATTATGTTGTTCTAGGTTTTTGGTCCTAAGGCACAACAACGGTCTATCTATGACCAATCCATTGCACCTATTGTTCATGAAGTCTTGGAAGGTTTTAGCTGCACTGTGTTTGCTTATGGGCAAACAGGAACAGGGAAGACTTACACTATGGAAGGTGGAATGCGGAAAAAGGTATAATTGAGTTTCCCTGCTTATGCTAGTCTTTTGATTCAAGCTCTTGTCTGAAAAAAATATTGATTTGTAGGGAGGAGATTTACCTGCAGACGCAGGGGTGATTCCAAGAGCTGTTCGGCATATTTTCGAGACTCTTGAGGCGCAAAACGCTGATTACAATATGAAAGTAACCTTCTTGGAACTCTACAATGAAGAAGTTACAGACTTGTTAGCTCAAGATGAGTCCTTTAGATCCTCTGAGGATAAGCAGAGGAAGCCCGTTTCTTTGATGGAGGACGGGAAAGGTTGTGTGGTTTTAAGAGGTCTTGAAGAAGAAGTTGTGTACAGCGCTAACGATATATATGCTCTTCTTGAACGAGGCTCATCCAAAAGACGCACCGCAGATACTTTGCTGAATAAGCGAAGCAGTCGCTCTCATTCAGTATTTACAATCACAGTCCATATAAAGGAAGAGTCTATGGGAGACGAAGAGCTAATCAAATGTGGCAAGCTTAACCTTGTGGATCTAGCAGGATCCGAGAATATTTTACGCTCAGGATCTCGGGATTGTCGCGCAAGAGAAGCAGGGGAGATAAACAAGAGCTTGCTTACACTAGGCCGTGTGATTAACGCGCTTGTGGAACATTCTTCTCATATACCTTACAGGCACTGCCCTTGTTCTACAACTAAATGAATTCTACTTTGATAATGTTTGTGTGTGTGGAAGTGTGATTGTGGATATTCTTCTTTGCAGGGATAGTAAGCTGACAAGGCTTTTACGGGACTCTCTAGGAGGGAAGACAAAAACTTGTATCATTGCTACAATCTCTCCATCTGCTCATTCCTTAGAAGAGACTTTAAGCACTTTGGATTATGCCTATCGTGCCAAGAACATCAAGAACAAACCCGAGGTTTTGTTTACGATATCTCAAATTGATGTATCAATGTACCATTTATTTTCTTCCTTCCGACTAAACTTGTCTCTGCAGGCAAACCAGAAATTATCCAAGGCGGTGTTGCTTAAAGACCTATACTTGGAGCTTCAGAGAATGAAAGAAGGTTTACACACATAAAATTCTGTCTATATGTATCTTTTCGAATGAGCTAGTGTATTAGTTATAATTGCTGTACAATTGATGCAGATGTAAGAGCGGCAAGGGATAGAAATGGCATTTACATCGCACAGGAAAGATATGCACAAGAAGAGGCTGAAAAGAAGGTAAGTTTGAAGGACGAACCTTAAGTCTGTATTCATTTCTTGATCGGAATAATGATTCTTTTGTCTCAGGCAAGAATCGAGAGGATAGAACAGCTGGAGAATGATTTAAATCTCACTGAAAGTGTACGTATGCCTCACCTTTTCTCTTCCATCTGTTAGAAACTAAACTAATTTTTTTCCGATGAAACTAAAGTGGCTTCTCTTATGCAGGAAGCTTCCAAGTTCCGTGACCTTTATGTGACTGAGAAAGAGAAGTTACTGGATGTTGAAAGTGACCTTAAGGACTGCAAGGTGATAAGGATGACTTCACTGATTTACTTTCTAGATTACTCATGCTTTCATTGAGAATTTTCTTGAATTTTCAAACATTTGTGGTCCAGAGAAACCTAGATATTAATAACAAGGAATTGCTTGATCTCAAAGAGAACTATGTCCAAGTTATCTCAAAGTTAAAGGAAAGGGAAGCCATCATCTCCACAATGAAAGCCTCAGGTAACACTTCTTGGGTTTAGAGGCTTCCGGCCGCTTTCTTGGGTTTGTTTGTTGCTTGATTCGTTCTAATGACATTTTCTTGGACAGAGACTTCTTTGATCGAACGTGCAAAGGGGTTACGTTCTGATTTGCAACATGCGTCACATGATATAAGTTCGCTGTTCACAAGATTAGGTACTTCTCCTTTCCTATGTCTACGGCTGGAAACAATATCTGTCAAGTGCTGATTTTACTTATTTCTGCAGACCAAAAGGACAAGCTGGAATCCGAAAACCAGAGCATGCTTCTTAAATTTGGTTCACAGCTTGATCAAAATCTTAAAGATTTACACAGAACAGTTCTTGGATCAGTCTCTCAGCAACAGCAACAATTAAGAACTATGGAAGAACACACCCACTCATATCTTGCTCATAAATATGACGTAAGACAAGACTGTAATACCTTGTCATTTCACTTTTTGCTTTGGATCTTTGGATCACACAAGTAGTTGTTTTACACATGCAGGCAACACGCGATCTTGAATCAAGAATTGGGAAAACAGCAGATATTTATACTTCAGGAGTAACAGCCTTGAAGGAACTTTCTGAAATGCTACAAAAGAAAGCCTCCTCTGATCTGGAGAAGATGAACTCCTCTATAGGATCACAAATAGAGGCTGTTGAGCAAGTATGAACAAGACAGAGTGATATAATTAAAATGTTTCTATTTCTCATCCTCTTTTTAGGTAATAATTGAAGTGCCTTTCTCTTCTCAGTTTCTCACTGCATCAGCAACAGAGGCTGCTAAAGTCGCTCAGGAAATCCGGGATTCACTTAAGGATCAAAGGGAGCTCTTAGCTCTTGCTGCAAGACAACAAGAGCAGGTGTTGTAAAAAATTATATGCTGGTTTCTTGTCAGTTGAATTACTTTCCTGAAAATTTCATTCTTTTTTCAACTTATCCAGGGCTTGATCAGAAGCATGAGATCTGCACAAGAAATTTCCGACGCGGCTTCAACCATTTTTAGTAACATCTACAATCAAGCTCACGGCATGGTCGAAGCCATTAGAGCAAGCCAAACAGAGAAATCGAAACAACTTGCTGCTTTTGAAATGAGGTTTAAGGTGAGTTTGGGATAAACTCTTATAAACTTTCAATTAGATATGTTTTGAGAGGTTCACATGAAACTCGTCATTACTAAAAACAGGAAGAAGCTGAAAGAGAGGAGAAACAAGCATTAGATGATATCAGTCTGATATTATCAAAAATAACTTCAAAGAAAAATGCAATGGTTAGTATTTACCCATTCACAACCCCATTAGGCCATAATTCTTCAGCAGTTTTGATGATGGTTTTTACGTGTTTCTAGGTCTCTGATGCATCACGCAGTATCCGGGAACATGACACAGAGGAAGAGAAGAGACTGCACGACCAAATATCTGGCATGCAACAAGTCTCGATTGGTGCAAAGAAGGAATTGTGTGACTATCTAAAGAAAGCTAAAACCCAGTTCACTGAAAACACAATAGCTTCAGCAGAGTCTATCACAGTCATGGACAGTTACCTTGAAGATTGGTACAAATTCCAACTCCTCTCTACTTCTTTCGAATCACATTCTAGTTTTTCTTACAAACATTGTCTAAATTGCAGTCTGGGAAGGGCCAGTGAGTCTAAAAAACTCTGGGAAGTCACTGAGACAGGCATAAAGAACCTTAACACGAAGTACCAACAAGAAGTTAATGTCACAATGGGGTAAAATGTTTCGTTATGTGTCCGTACTTTTCTATTTGTTGCTTCCACATCATTTCATTGAATAAAACTTTCTACTTATAGGGACATGGCAAAAGAAAATGACAGGATGCATGATGAGCTTGCATCCACATTCTCCACAATGGATGCTAACTTTGTAACTGGGACTAATGAACTTCAGGCAGCTGTTAACGGTAACAACGCTAAATCCTTGCACCTTTACTACTCAAGAACCGCTTTCCTAATCTTTAGTTTTACAGACTCATTGATTCAAGACCGTGAGAACAAAGAAACAACGGAAGCCATAGTCGAGACTTGCGTGAAGCAGGTCACGTTACTGCAAGAGAATCATGGAAAAGCCATATCGAATGTTAGAAACAAAGCAGAACAGTCTCTGATAAGAGACTATCAGGTACTAAAGCAATCATAACAACATAAAGAAAAATATAGAAAACACTAGGAATTCCTTCTCTATGTGTAAGCTTTTTAATACAATGGCCAGGTTGATCAGCACAAGAACGAAACGCCAAAGAAACAGACCATAAAGGTGCCAAGCCTGGCTTCGATTGAGGAGATGAGGACTTCCTTTTCGAAGATCATTCTCAGCGAAGATTACACAAGCATGGAGAAAAGATCAACTAAACAGAGACAAGACGAAAGTAACGACAGAACTCCATTCTTGGAAGTAAACATATGATTTTGTTTAGACAAAAAAAGAACAGCTTCAAGCTTTGGCAGTTAAGTTCATTAACTGGATGAGTTTAGTAGATTTAAGAGTGTGTAACTGTCGCCAAGATTCCATCTCTCTAATCCACACCACTTACTTTGCTTTGACTTGCTTATCTGTCAAATGCTATTGCTGTCGTCACGATTCCATCACTGATGACGTTCGCAATAATAAAATATAGAAAGAATATTCTTGAGAGTCTCTTGAGCTCTTACCATCTAGATGGACAATGTATCTAAAGGCTTTAAAACTGGTCTCCATTGCAAGTGTTCAAAACAAAATGAATCTTCTCTTCAAACATAATAATGTTAAAAAATTTAAGATTAATTTGCTCTGTATTCAAACATCATTCAGTTACTTAAACATAGTAAAATTCCAGTGGATGTTTTTTTCTCTTCAACCATGTAATACATGACGGCTGTATTTTCCAATGATTAGTCTATAACTATTTTGGGTTTAAAATCCTTGACTAAAGAAAGCAGAAGGTTATGATATAATTTAATATATCGATGTTGATATTAAAATAATGACTGTGGCAAGGAAGTCCAATTATGAAACCAAGTTGCTGGATTTATTCTGTGTTTGTATACATTTGTTGACTCTGCCTCTTTTCATTAGATTCACACACTTTTAGCAAATAGATGTTTCTGTGAAATCTGTGATGATGATGCATTACTTAAAGTTAAAGACGATAATGCCCCTACTATTCAACCCGCGTGGTATGCATCTGCGTCTAGCCGTCGAAGGGTGATATTGAAAATGTCAATTTATCGCCAAGTCAAACAATCAGTGCTGCTTGTTGTTAGAATATTAGTTTAGACGACTTCTTTTGTTCAAACTACAAGAAAGTCAAACTTTTAGGTATTTCTCTTATAAATATACGTTACTCCTAAGTTCTCAACTTTCATTACAAACTCTCTCAATTCATTTTTTCTTTTAATTTTTGACAAACAAAAACTCAATCCTTAACTTACTCTGCTTCCTTAATTCTCAAAATCTTTACCAAAAATAGATAGTATGAAGAGAGAAAGATCTGAGTACGAAGAATCCATCAAGAATCTAGACATTGCTAAATGTCTAATGATACTATCACAAACCTCCATGGTCAAACACATTGGTGTTAACCATTTTACCGAGAGCAACACAAGTAATCGTTTCGAATGCAAAACGTGTAACCGGAGATTTTCTTCTTTCCAAGCCCTTGGTGGCCACCGGGCAAGCCATAAGAAGCCGAAGCTAACCGTTGAGCAGAAAGACGTGAAACATCTTAGCAACAATAACAAAGGAAATCATATGCACGAGTGTTCGATATGCGGTCAGAGTTTTGGGACCGGACAGGCTTTAGGCGGTCACATGAGACGGCATAGGTCAAGCATGACAGTCGAGCCATCGCAGCTGATCTCTCCGGTGATTCCTACCATGCCGGTTTTGAAACGATGCAGTAGTAGCAAGAGGGTTCTGTCTTTGGATTTGAATCTAACTCCTTTAGAGAATGATCTTGAAATTATTTTTGGGAAGACTTTTTTTCCGAACATAGATATGAAGTTTGTTGTTTAGCTTTTTTCTTTCTTAATCATTTAGGTTATTGCAATTCTTTTGTATTGTAATTCTCTCATTCTTTTAAGGATTCTTTCAAATGTTATGTTCATTGTGAGTTACTTGGTTGTCATGTAAGTTAGTTGGATTTTTTATTTTTTTGGTCAATAAAGTTAGTTGAATTATTTTCGTTCCTGGGCCAAAAGCTGGGTCCAAAATTTTCAATACTGGACCCAAGTTGTTAAAAAGAGATTTTTAGATTCATCACTACATATTATGTGATTAGTTATGTGATCACTGGGTCACAACCAGGTGAGCTTTATAGTAAAGCTCAATCATCTATGTACGTACCTGGAGATTTTGAGGTGTATCTAAGGTAAGGTTTTTAAATCTTTCGTGTACATAGATTATTGTCTTATATATATAGTTTTTTTTTTCCTAGGTTATTATTATTGTCATCTCTTTAGTTTCCTTTACAGAGATATCATTTGGAGATTTCCAACTGAGTGTCTGAGTCAAGAGAATAGTGAAAAAAAGAGTACACACGCAATATATCAATCATATACATACGTAGATTATAGAGTTCTCTCTATAGAGATACCTTATAATAGACAAAAAGGGACTTTGTAGTTTAAGTAAAGAAAGATAAATCGAGAAGCATAAACTGTAATAAAGGAGATAGTCTTTGCAGAATTTTGGCATAAAACTTTTTATTCGGTTTCGCTCCTCCTAGTAGTAGTTAATGCGCAATATTTGATATGCAACACATCTAACAGAGATATTCATTGTTTTGCTGTAAGTTTTTTTTTTCATTGTTTTGCTGCAAGTTCATATGCATATCTGAAAACATTAATTAGTTCCATGCAACCCCGGATCTAGAACTTGTTTTTATCCGGGGTAAAAACTAAATAATATGCATAATATAATATATTAACAAGGAGCATTATAAAAAAAATCTTAAGCAATTACATATTTAAATTAAAATTGTCATGGTGGATAACTGCCCCTCCCAATCACTATGTGCCTTCCCCAATCTCCATGTGTGTTTATATATATTTATATATATATATATATATATATATAATAAACGCGTACAAATTCATGCATAGGGCAGGTTCCATGTCCATTCAAAAGGATCGATATTTCTTTATTCCTAAAACATGGACTTGTTTTTGTTACCATCGAGGAAGAATTTTGGTTTGACTTTTTCTTTTCTAGTATATATATTTTTTTACCCGACCTAGTGTTAATAGTTGACAAAGAATAGTTTGGGCATTGAAGAAAGTCAAAGGTCTTCTGTTTTGGAGCACACAATCAATTGCCAATATTAGCAACTAATTAAAAAGAATTATAGTAACATGTGATCGCCACCACTTCTCGACCACTACCATTACCATAGTATCATCGCATGGTCCACATCTATAGTTTACGAAAAAATATTCATGCGAACGAGTACACATATATAAAAGACAACCATATAATACTTGCATGCGCCACTTTAAACATGAGCAATATATACTTTTATAGTATTTTACTAATTCAGTGGTGGACGTAGAATATTTCTTTTACAGGATCAAAAAAATGAACTATTAAGAAAAGTCTATCAATATTTTACAAAATGTTAAAAAAAATGAACAATTTAATTATATCGTAATATAATAATTTTGACCTTTTTCTCTTTATTTTTATTATATTTTGCTTATATTCTTCTTTTGAGTTTTAGCAAAAAAAAAATTGTTTTAAAAATATTATATATTAGTATATAAGAATTAGAGTTCGCGTACTGGTTACGAGTTTGATTTTGAAAATTTAGAGACTGTATTTAAAGGTCTATGTGTGTAAGGCAGTAAGGGACACCTCGATTCAGCATATACATATACGTAATTGTGGATCCATGCATTTGAGACCGTTGTGCTAATTAATTAAGGTAGAATCTTTAATTCTCATCTGATCTGATGAAAAAAATGGGTTAAGAAAGGATGTTTAACGCTAAAACAGCTGAATTTGTAAGACCAAGTCCAGTTGACCTCTAGGATTTATTATCAGCCGTGTTAGATTTTAGGCTGGTCGTTGTTGAGTAATTGTTTTGCTTGTTTCATGACTTAAATTTATATAACCATAGCCAAACATGGACATCATTGTCAATTTATAGAATCATATGAGATAAGACGTTTGTTTTCTCAGCATCGTATGCATGGTGCATTATCTTAGAAGAGCATATTCTCCACTCGCTAATCTATCAAATGCTCGTTATTGCTCAGCTATATTGGTTATAAATGGACTATTTTTGTGTGTGACCACTAAAATTGCCTATTTTAAAACAATAGATAAAGTATATATTTGATGCATGAATCACGTATCTCACATTAACGTATAATATATCAACACAACACTTGTTAGTATGAATAGGTTGTATTAACTAGTACGCGGAATATCCCATTTATTTGAACAAATCATTGGTTAAATAATATAATTAATATGTTTTGATTGTATTCTTCTGTAATTTGGGTCGTTAGTGGTGCTTTCCAACATTTTAGGACATTAGTAAAGATGGAAATTAATCCCAACAAACCCGATGGTCCAAGTTCAATTAATTGTCTGCATCAGAGATTGTAAGAGAATTATTTATTGGTCTAAGTGGGTTATTGAGTCATCAAAAGATTTTAATTAATGACCTCAATGCAATGTTCTTACATTAACTATATATAATATGACTAATATCAATATAATGCTCACTTAAGTTAATAATAAGAGAGTTTAACTACACCCTGCTTCGGCGTGAAGTGCATTCCATGTGAATCTTGTGAATGAGAAACTAAAAGGAGAATATTCACGTCATTGCTTAGCTAATTATGATTAACCGAATGTCGCTACGTCAGTTCAAATCTCATTAAAACTCGTTATTCAAAACACTAATTATGTCATGCATAATATATTATAGAAACATTCAAACGGTAGAAGAGTCAAATGGCCAAATCAACAGAATCGATCACAGTAATTTTGGATAATTGTGCATGATATAGTAAACTCGAGTATGATGCAAATGACCCAACTCTTTGATTTTTTTATTATATTGTAATCTATCTATGATTTTAATAGTTAGAAAATGTAAAAAAAATATGTATCAAACTTATAGAATTTGTAAATGGTATGGTATATACAAAATGTAATTACTCTTGTTTAAAAGTGATCATAACCATGGTGTGGATATTATTTTCTTATAAAAGATATACTATTTAAAATAAGAGAGATTTATGAAGTAGATGTTATCATTTGTAGCCAATAAATATTAAAATATATATAACCGGTTTCTATGTTTGTCTAAACAAACGGTTGCTATGTTAAGTTATATCATCTTCCCGGGATACTCTACATATGCATACTTGGAATGTCTCATATAAGTATATTAGGTGATTACCCTAATCACCTTGTACGAGATAAATATTAACCATATTTTTTATATTCAAATATATAAATATAATGTTTATGAATACGACTACAAAAATATTAGCTGATATTTATAATTACAAATTTATGTGCTGATTATATAATTGTAAATAATAATTATAATTATATTTATCTTTTAATACAATTACATAAAAATTAGATAATTATTAGTAATTTTATGAATGAAATTACACATTTTGAATATACTAAATTATATTAATAAGTTCTATCTAACCGGTTTAACATATGATTAAGATATTTTAGTTTTGATATAAAAAATAGAATTATAATATATGAAATTTTTTTGATTTTTTATTGAATTAATGTAATTGTTTGTTTAACAAAATTAAGATCAAAGAAAAATAAGATAAAGAAATATAATGTTTAGTAGCATAAGTAATAGTATGTATTAAATTTTTATAAATATATTGATAAGAAATAGAAAGAGAGAGAATATTTTTACAAATTAAATGTTGAGTATTAAATGTATAGTTGATAAAAATTAATCTCTAACCAAATTAATATTAATAGCATGATGTAATTATTTTAGTAAAGCAATCACTTTTTTATATGTGTGTTGAGAAACTCTCTCATGACGACACATCAGCATGACACTCTTGTAAATCACACATCAAGTAAAAATTGTTTTTTAAATGTCCTTCTCAATTAATAATATAAGATAACACTTAGTAATATAGTTTGAATTTGGAATAGATTTCTAAAACTAGCTCCAGCTGCTGTTGTGTAAAAGTTTTAACCCAATTCACAAATCCAATTTGAGATTCATTCGAATATTTCATTGAACACTGTCGAATGTGAAATCCGTTTGGTCTACATTTGAATGATCAAGCAAAATACTAGAATTCAACACATGCTAAATCAAGGATTTTAAAAATCTAGACAAAAACATTATATATCAACCAATTACTAAACCATCCTAATTAATATACTAAACTCTTACCCAGAGATGGATTACTCACATAAACCAACGGCAAACGAAGACAAATGAAAATAATAAACAAGCATAATTAAAAAGATTCAAGAGATAAAGAATTGGGTCGAACCCAACATATATTCAGATTATTGGTCGCGGGATCGGTTGGCACAATGGAGGTAAATGCCGATTTCAGCTCTACTCCCCGACTTGATTTTCTTCATTTTTTGATATTCCTCCCTTGCATCCAATCCTAGTGTCTTCCTAAGCTCCAAATCACCTAAAAACATGCAAAACGTGCTATGCAAATGCACTATTGACAACTTATTTAAAATGCAGGAAAAACAAGTAAGATTCAAACACACTAATATAACGATTGAAAAGTTTTTTTTTAAAAAAAAAAAAAGAAAAAGAGAGAGAGAGAGATCAAAACCAACAATAACAAAAATTAGGAATATGCAATTAAAGTCCACAAATATCAAGCTGGCCCACCCAAATCGCAACAGTTATTTGCGATTGTTTCCAACTATAACCACACTCATAGCAGTCGAGGTCCAACAACAATCACACCAAGTAGTATTGGTTTTATTTTTTTAACTGTTTTATCTATAATAATAATAATATCTAAATTTGATATATATCCATCACTTATATTCAAACGTAAATAAATAACAAGTTATTGAAGAAATATCTAAAAGTGTTTAAATGGTAACTTTATACAGTTTATATAGAACTTCATTGTACTTAATTATTAGCCATTTCCAGTTATACTAGCTTCCATTTT